AATAAACTGTCTATGAACCCTGTCTGTAATACTCTTCCCAAATAAACGTATACCACGTCATACGTCTGTTTCCTTGGTACCTTTCCAATCTAGGAGAACGTACCATAGCGATTAGTGAGCGAAAGTCAAGGCTTTGTAGTGTAGTAATACACTACAAAATGGGAAAAATCTCATTCAACATGCCTTAGTGCACATTGGACATGAACTGATAACAGTGTCGTTTGATTCTCCTTCTTTCAAACAATGAAGAATAAAATGTTATTGAAGCTCAAATTCGCCCACTTGGAATATTCTCAGTTAGTATTGAAGTGATGGTTAAAGTGGTCACGGTAAAACATGCTTCACGAACTGCAGTCGATCCATGTCACTTTGCAAATGTTTTCTGTCAAAAGCCACCATTTGGTATTGAAAAAATCGACGCAGAACATTTTGACTGTACACATCAATTAATTTACCCACTGTATCTAGTGGATATCCAATCGATAGCCGTCTTCTTTTGAATGTCCTAGTTGTATAACTGCTTATGTTGTGCAACTATCAACTGTCTCCTTGGATGCTTCTATTTCTCTTTTCCAAATTTCATTTCAACATTTCTTAACGTATGCTTCTTGAGAACACAAATTCATAAACTTAAGTAGGATTTCGTAGGGGACACATTTGGAGATTGTCTAAGGTCTTTATCTCTATAATGCGGATTTGAGTTTTGCTTTAGTTTTGAAATCATCTTTTAGCTTGAATTTCATAACGTTTGTTCTACGTGTTTGGCTCCATTTGTGCTTCTGGTTTTGAGATTACAATTTTTCACAATCATCCAATCTCCTCCCACTACCATTTCCTGTTATTTGTTATTTCCTGCTTTGTTATTTTCACCAGGAAAAGTCAGTGAAGACAAATTCTCAATCCCAACTAAGGTCATTTGTCGATAGAGTCTGATAATAGTTTGGAGACAGATGGAAATCTAGATGCTTCGGAGGTGATATTAAGGTAAAAATGTGTGAATGGGGGTCAAACCTCATCAAGTGTTTGATAAATATGATGATGCGTTAAATATCGAAATCCCCGGTTACATCGATATTCACTATGGATATATGCGGAGATTTGGGATAATTTCAGTCATTAGAAAGCTGATTGTATACTTAGCTTTACAACTTTAATATAATTCATCAATCTAAACTTTTAAAATTAGAATATGAAGTATATACCCTTTCTGGACAGTATATTCTAAGACAGAATTATATTACTATTAGTTCAAAAAGGCATTCAATTGATATTTCGGGCATGTCAAAGGGACTGGCGAACCAAGTGGTCAAACCAGGGCACATGCTCAGCTGCACGACGTCTATTCGAAACGGATGAATGTAAACATGCTGGTAAAGATGCCAGCTTCCTCCCAATCATCATATTTCCTTCCCTTAAATTCCTTAATGTTGGTTATCTTGGTCACGACATCCTTACCCTGAATAGATTCAATTTTCAATTGCACATGTTCAAAGTGGCTTTAGTGTCTCGCTTATTGGTCCATTCGCAAAGAATCGCTCCACTTCAGCAGGGTTGAACTACCACTTCGTTGGCTACACTTCGAGATACAAAGCGAGAACGCTAAGTGGATTAGGCGGTCTAAGGATAACCTGTTGTACAATAACATACTAATAGATTCTGCACGATCACCCATAAAACTTCAGATCCAAGAGTTTAGTAATCAGAATAGATTTATTTTACACAATAGATACTATACATTCAGGCTTGCTCTCAAAAGTTCCCATTAACCTATTTGAACAGCTGTACGTTTAACAATCTTCTCCTTTATCTTCTTCAGCCTCTTCGCTCGTTTCGATGTCGCTTCTTCAAAGAGAGAAATCTGATTTTCTTCCTCGATCTTTCTCCGAAGGAAATCCAGTGCAGCAAGATTCATCCCAAGCATTTTCTACCGAAAAAAGAAAAAAATGAAAAAGATAATAAACACAGTAAATAGATTTCTGCAAAGGCTTCAGCAAATGCTTGACAACGACGTCATGGAAATGGCAAGTGACAAAACTGTGTGGATGTGTATCGGTGGCTTTCCAAGTAGAATAAACCAATGCGCACTCCTTCAAGACCAATAGTGAAAGAAGCATATCCGACTATTCCTTTAAACTAAGTATTATGAAAGCAAAAAGACGTGTAAAAATTATGCCATTTCTATGACCGAAAACGATTTTCATTACAATTTGCGTGAAACTATGAGACCAATTAAGCACTTACCCTTGTATCTGCAAGATGTTCCCTTCTAGCCTGTACAGCTTTAGCCAATGAACCGGTCAAGTTCGTGTCAGCTGTCACCATACCAGCATGCAGTGTTGTCAGATACCTTAGAGCTCTTCCACACAACTCCACATCCCATCCTCGTTCCATCCAAACTGCAAGGCGAGGCAGCAACCGCGTCACATGGTCAGTGTGAACGCTACCGAGTGCATGTTCAAGTCCCGACATGCCTCCACTTTTAGGCAGTCGAAGGGAAGTAAATACAGCAAAAAGGAATCGGTCTGGATCATTTGGTGCTCCATAGTAGGCCATCAAAGGATGTGGAGGTTCTGAACCAGGAGGAATGGACGTCTGATGAGTGTAGATATCGATCGCTTCCATAAGGGAATCAGCCTTAACAATAGAAAAATGAAGTTTAGGAACAGGAAAATCATCAAGCCAGATCAATTCATTTGTAAGGTCATGGATTCTAGCTTATGCAGTGCAATGAAAATAGTAAAATTTTCAAATCTAAATGCTTGAACTATCAGTTACATCATTTGGTAAGCACGAAGAGAATTGAATAAGCAAGTTGAATTATATAAAATGGGTTAAATTAAAATTTAAGTCGTGGATTCTGAAATGGTGGAGTACAATGCTTCAACTGGCGTATTTAAAACTAACAAGGAGAATGCAGATAATAGTGGTATCGGGAATTCGTAACACCAACTTACAGCATCTCGAGTGGTGACTGTAGGTCTGCCAAGAGGTCCACTTTCAGCAGCTTCAGGTGCCACTCCACCAGGAACCACTGCCTCACTTCTTCCCAACTCAGCTTCAATTTCTGCTGTTTCGCGTGCAATCTCCGCCTCTTCTTCCATCACCACCAAGTCCTCCGATTCTTTCCACACCCGACAAGAGAAATCTCGTCCTGTGGAGACCAATACACCTCCACAGACATCGGCTTCAAAATCGTCGTCTTCGTCTTCCTCGTCGAGATCATCCTCCTCTTCTTCATAATCTGGTACACGTCTACGCTTAGGAGGCGGAGGACGACGTTTACCTTTCTGGCTTGATTGCATCTGTTTGCCAAGTCCGGGACGCGTGGCTAGTGTCGCCAAGCCAGTGATTGCTCCCTCATGACCCTAATGAAGATGAATAAAAATACGGATCAAATTATTTTCCAGGCGATTTTTTCGTACGCAATGGACAAAAGAGACTTCAATGAACTTTCAGGTATGTAGACATGTAGCCACTAGACAATTACCATAGAACAATTAATTTAGAACTAGATTTATGATTTCTACAGTAAGAGAGGGTTGGATAGGAAGTAAGTAAGGATATCGCTTCAACGAATTCGTCACACGTACCCAAAACATCTCACATATAAAAAAATTCAAGCTCCAATCCGACCTCCTTATTCTAAGACCTCGGTTAAAACTAAGAAAAGCAAACTATCACAGTAAAGTGTTAAATGTACCTTGATTATTGTAATTTCGTGCATTTTCTTGATATCCCATTCACGAATAATTCCTCCAAGATCTGCAGAAAAGGCGAGAGTTGAGCTATGCATGAACTTCACCGCCATAACCCTGGAAGGAAAAATGGAGTAAATTAAATCAACTACCTGAGGTATCTGAGTAAAAGATAGTAATGAGAGGTAATCTCACGGATCGGTATGTTGGGTGAAGCGTCGAAGGCAGTTTCCAAACTGTAGCTCCCACAGGCGAACTGTCTTGTCACCATCTCCAGTTATAAGAAGACGACTGTCATGTGAGATGTCCATGCAGGTAACAGGACTGGACATACCATAGAGACTGTGTACTCGCTAAAAAATTGAATAAATTAAGCGATTATTAGAACAAGTTCAGGGTCCTAACAACCGCAAAGGACTTTCCATGTGTTTTCATGTCCAACTTTCATATTGGAAATTGGACGTGTACAAAAAAACTTTTAAACGCCATTTGAAGAAAAATGCGTGGAGTATCAATGAAGATAAAACCAACCCCAAAATCGAATATAATTAAACCATCTCAATCATAGCAGAAAAGCAAAAAACATAAAATCCATCATTTCTTATACATTTTTAAAATGAAATGTTTAAGTTAAGTTGGTTTTCATAATTGAATCATAACTTGGCTGGTTTAAAAAATAATAATGAAGGCACCACTTCGTAGAATATTTGACTAGTTTACTAAGGCAAAGAAAACTGAAGCCCACAATAGTTCAAGTGATTCTATGGAGTGAATAAACGCATAACAGTCAATTAATCATGAACAACTATACCAAGCAGTAGTTCAATTAAACATTATTCTAAAATTATTAACATGGCAATTTTAGTAAGACATAAGTGAAAAAAACAGTACCTTAAAAGTGTCCGTGTAGTAGATATCCACGTGGAAATTAAGCATACCAACAGCTATTAATCGGTTATCCGGAGTTGCAGCCAAAGAAGTTACTTGTGAAGCCACTGATTGAAGCGGTCGATGGGGTTTCAAGCAAAGGTTCGGTGCCCTAAAAAGAAATTTTGTCAGGAATTAGAAAATCTGTTGCTTATAAGCCTGTGTACTCGCAAATGTGCGCTTTTCTTAACAAGGAAAACAGATCAACTACTTTAGAAATGATAGTAGTTGTGGCTCTTAGGGATTCATAGCTTAATATAATGGACATCAAACATCAGGATTATATTAAACCAAACGACTTTACAATGTAATCAAATTCTTTATAATATACAAGTCTATAGTAGACTTACCCTTTAGCATCCATCCTCAAATCGAAATCCCAGAATCCCACTTTAGAATCAGATCCTCCTGAAATGATTCCCTTCTAAATAGAGTAAGAAAGTAACAAGAAGTTGAATAAATATACCTACCTTATCTCCAGTAAGAATTATGCTCTTCACTGCTCCGCTGTGAGCATCGCTAATTACTTGGGTGCACTTTTTCAAGACCAGATCAAAAAGGCAGATTAAACCGGACTAAAATGAGAAAGGGCGGGTTAGAAAATGACTTTTGAATCAAGAAAGAGAAGAATTGAAAGATTACCTCAAACCCGATGACTACCCGTCGGCTTCCAGGCGCAAGAACAAAAGCCGATGCTTTTAGATTCAATTTCGAAGGCCCCGGCCTCCTAGTCTCCTCACTGTGATCGGTGTCTTGTGCAGATTCTTCAGTTTTTATGGAACTCCAGTCAATTGTTGCAAGACAAGATTGCTTTGATCTTAAGAGGATGTTAAAATTACGTAATGAGCTCGGATAATGAAATAAGAACTTAAGTCTGTGACTGAGAAACCGACAACGATAAACCAATTTCAAAGAAATTCGTGGAAGAACCACAGCTTCTAAGAGATTGGAGATTTAAAATTTTTAAATCATATGGAAAACTGGAATTTTAACAAAAAATATCACCTCCCCAGTTGTCCTAAACACTATTTAAATACTATTACAAAGAAAAGTATTAGGGCCATCGAAAGGCCAACAAAAATACACCCACTACTAAATCGTAAAAAAAGAATCGAATTGAATAAATAGATGGGAAAAAGAAAAGGTCAACATCAAAATTAATGAAGTTGCCTCAACTATTCTGTGGAAAGAGAGGGGAAAAGGGATCGAGGAAAACTCTTATGAAAGCTGCAAGGGGATTACTTGTAGTTTGAACATGTCTTTCAAACAAACGCACCGATTCCACAGCTTGCCTTCACCGTGGGCCAGAGTGAAAACACCACAGCCATCTTCAGTAATTTGACACCCGAGAGGGAAGGATCGGTGACCCGGGTTGGCAATACGAGAAGTCAAACGCAATTCGGGGCCACAGTTTGTTTTAGCCTCGGTGAACTTCTGATCGGCATCTACCTCCTCCTGATGGCGGGCTATGCGACCAGCATTAACGACAACTGGACGCGTTGGGAGAGTTTGAGGCACTCTGAGACTGTATTCTTCCACCAGGTTATTACGGTAGGAACAGAGGAGCTATTAAGACAAAATTGAATAGTTTTAAGGAATGACACAATCTCTCCTATAATATATTCACACCTCAAGACAAATAATCGTAAATTTTGCTAAATATCCACTATTGCTTCTATCTAAACTAAGCATGATAGATCAAATAAACATGTATATACCAGAAACACAATTTTGAGGCATGCCAGAGATTCAATATGTTCCAAGTAAATTTAAACTACATTTAAGCGAGATTAAGTAAAGGTCATACATACAAAATATACTTAATTAAAAAAAGAGCATTCCAGTGAGATCAGATATATGCAGAAAGAAAAAAAGACAAAAATGGATAAATAAGGAAGGCTACTTTTATTGAACAGACCGAGATACATGCACAATACGAGGTCCAAGACCAAAGGACAATGAAATAAAAGTACTGAGATCTCAAGGATAAGAAATTTGCATTCTACTGCATCCTCTTCATGAGAAATTTGATTAGTCATATGGTTTACTGAATAAAGGCCCATAACATAATTGAGCGCATATTTATAACCGAGGTACACAAACAAGGTTCAAAGAACCACTAGTATTGGCCCACTAAGCGTAGAACTTTGGGGATTTAACACTCAACTATTCAAGGCCGATAAATTGGCAGACCCAATGTACTCAAAGTCAAGTGACTGGAACTAGCTGAATATGTATACTCAAGTAGAATCCAAAAAGTTTGACCATAGTTCGAACAGACAACCAATAGGAAAAATGAGAATTTCAGTGACATACTCAGGATTCCAGCGGTAAGACAAGGACCTGATAAGTCAATAGAAAACCAATAAGAAAAAAACGTCTTTGACTCGAAGAGGAATAACATTAAGCAGTTTCGATTGACTAGCAAAAATGGTAATTAAGGAATCTTTAATAATAGGCGATTAATTTGAAAGGAACTAAGGATATTCACAAGGAAGTTTCTAAGCGAACGAAAACAAGGCAATATTTTCAAGGAGAATACAGTGGAAAAATCAATGCACGTTAATAAAGATATGAATGCTTACATGTAAAATAGAAAATCTCTCGTTTTCTTCAATCTCTTTTGATATTTCGTTCTTTGGTTTTCTGGTATTAAAATGCGAAACCCGAATATCACAAGATGAGAGTTTGGTAGGGAGAGTAATTTGATAGATACAACGAAATTCATCTTCTGCTTTTAGTTCAACTTCTGACGGGTCCATCGATCCAGTTCTAATAAAAAAACAATTCAAGGCATTGAAAATTCCGAGAAAAACAAAAATGGAGAAGATCTACAACCAACCTCTTAGCCTTTTTTACTTTCTTTCTCAAACGTGACTGTTTCTCCGCCTCAGATAAAAGGACATAAATTTCCAGGATTTTATCCAAGGTTTGACATACGAGGAAACGTCCGCTTGCATCAAAGGCGAGAGAGAATACTCTCTTTTGTGACTTTCGTGCTATCGTTCCACGAAATTCGATTTCCAATAAGGAATTGAAATCATTTAGTGGCACAGACTCAACAAGATTGCCTGTAAACAACTGTTGCACATTGGGTCTGTTCAACAAATCACTTTCTACTTGACCGTCTTGTTTAACCTATAGCAAGAAATTAGAAGGGAAGGAATAGTATTCTCACATTATACTTAATTTTCCAAAGACGAAGGTTGGTATCCGAACTTCCGGTTATTAGAGTTTTGCAATCCGCCGAGAGCGAGAAATCCCAAACAGGCCCAGGATGGCCAGTAAGTGTCAGGAAACAATGTTGTGTACGAAGGCACCAAAACTTGATAAAAGTATCCCGCCCACTAAACAAAAATAACGTAGGTAAATTGTGAATTAACATACCTAGAAATGAGTATATCTTTATAAGGGATAATTTTCACAGAGGTGACTGCACCGCGATGACCTTTAAGTCGAAAGCCACTACCAGAAACAATATCTACTACATGAAGTTCAGATTCAGCTGCACAGGCAACAGTTGAATTGAAAATATCAATAGAATTGACTCTATGAGAACCAGCACGAAATGAAATCTCTTCCTGTCCAGTGTTAATTGAAAACACAGAAACCCATCCATCCATGTAGCCGATTCCGAGGAAACCGGTAGTAGTACCAGATTCATAGTTAATAGCAAGTGTAGAGACGGCTCTTTGTGCTGTTTCATTATAAAAATACAAAAACTGATTGAGTTAAAAATCTCTATTGGACCTTACTGGATTAGCTGTTCGAAGATTCCATACTGACACAGAGGCATTAGTGCCGGTGGCGCAAAATCGACCAGGTTTACCGTCACTATCTTTTATGTACTTGATAGGGACCGAGTCATTAGCAACGACACCAAAAAGCCCATCCCCTTCATACTTACGATACGTGTTAGTAATAGGCATGATTACAGCACGTTAAGGAGATAAGGTCGCAATTCAATTAAACCGCATTCATTTATTGTTAAAATGCACAGCAAAAATATGTAATAAGATATTTTTCAGCTATAAATATTGGTAATGAAAAAGCGGAAAAATTATTATATTATATTCTACTTAAAAAGAAACCAATTCAAAAATATTGTGACATTATAGTGAGTTTTTAAGTTATCTTACGTTTTTTCTTTATAAAACTTGGACCGTGGCCAGCCAGTTAAAATTTTACACATTTAAAAAGGTTGAAATATTGATTGCCGTTTTCATTTTTTTGCCGAGCCGATAAATTTTAACTAATTTATAAGGAACCAAGAAAGAGTAATATAGATTTAACCAATATTTAATATGTAAATAAATAAGTGCAAAACCTATTTTAATTTTAATCATAATTTTCCATTTAAATCGCAAAATTATACAGATATTACAAAATTATAGCAATTACGATGAAAAACAATCGATTATTATACATTGGCACTATTGGATAAACAATTGAGTTTGAGTAAGCACTTTTTCCACAAAGCTATCTGCGTTGCATTGAAACAGTCATCCATTAATTTTTTTGTATCTTCTTCCAACTCCATGCATTCAGTATGCCTTCTTGCTATTCGTAATAAAAAATTGAGAGACTGCATTAAGCTAATAAGATAGACACTTTTTTCAAAACCAAATGAAGCAATAAGGCTGTAAATTTCCCTAAATATGCAAGATACTATAATTCATGACATATAACCTTCTTTATTACATGAAACAACAGCTTTCTAAACTTTGATAATTCACCAAATATTGCCCTTAATTAGAATTTGGAAATAATTGCTGCTAAGGAAGGAAGATCTAAATTAATATTTATCCAATAGAAATGGCTAGTTGATAACTTGGTAAAACAAAAGACATCCTGCTTGGCGTCTTATTTACAAGCACATTCAAACACGTACCTTCATCACGAAGAGAAATCACTTTAGGCATGTCATATGTTAAACGAGGAAAAATTGTCCCTCAAAATGTTTCTTTTATAAATATATTTTGTGTGGTAAATTGTCTCACTCTCGATCCCTAACATAATATTCCAGATTTCGCAACACTGATAAGTGAGTTTTGGCAAGAAATACGTAAAAATAGAGGAAAACAAAATGAAAATTGATTTTAACAGTTAGTTAAAATTAAGTGATTTGTGAGGATACGAAAATTAGTGCAAAATTAGGCAACAGTTAAGGTAGTAATAGAGAAGTAAAAGGATAGTAGCGACATCAGCACAAAATAGTTGAAATGAGAGACGAAACGCAGGCAAAATAGTTTATACCTTCTTTGCGATTTATTAACGCTTTGATTAATTGTAATTAGTAATCAATTTATCACTTTTGTTTAGAACTTCAAATCGTTCTTGTGTAACCTTAACAATAAACGTTCACAATTAGAATTTCTGCATTCATTTAAATGAAGGTTGGGTTCACGTCAGTATGGGACCAAATAAAGAGCAAACTAAAAGAAAATGAACTTTATGAAGCTAAGTCTTTGATTGGCTATGATTTGGTCGATCAAATAGAGGAAATTTTGTCTGAGGTTTAAATTTATTTGCCATGTCAATAAGCTTAGATTGAATCATTTTCCGAATTCGCCATGTTATCATCAGACTACAAGGAATGCGAGGCATACATGAATAAATTTTGCGATTTTGACACTGAACTTAATAAGTCGATAGATGGTTTTGTAAATCAATTCCAAACTGCCACTATTGGAACATGTAATAAACTGAATCATTATATCTAATTTGAAATCTTTATTCATATTTTCGCTATGATTCTTGTAACTCTGCTTTAAGGTAACAGAGGTTTTGATTTCAATGACTCCTCTACAGAAAGCATCAGGTTTGCACTTAGGTTTTATGGTATAATAATTGCATTTATAATAGTAATTATTTTGGTTTCATTTAGAAATTTTATGATCTCTGATTTTGAAAAATTGAAAAAGAACCTTGAAAAAATACAGGTATAGATGCAAGTAACGTATTATTTTAATACTAAAAATGTTTTTGAAAAAAACTCGCATATATTGAATAAAATGCACATTTAAATATTTTTTAATGATGATCTGTTTTATACGCCACCTTCAGAAAATATAATCTAATGATATTTCTTAATCAAAGATTAGGATGTTTAATTGTTGATATTTTGAGATTATTTGTTCAGTTTCTCCTCATTCATATTCATAGTCAAAAGAGAATAGTATTTCAGGATCATCACGATCGGTTTCTATTGAAGCACAAATAATAAGTCACTTCGTTATTGCTGATTTACTCGTTAATAGGTTTTAGTAATCACAATCTTTTCAGAATTTAGTAATATCTAATCTAAATGGGAACAATCAAATTCGAAATAATAGTGATGAACCCGAACAGCCTGTTGGGAATGAAGTAGACGAACTTGAACACATTGGAGACTCTGCGAAGGAATTAATATCACGTTTCAACCATAAATGTGACCGTTGTTCGAGTAGAAACCCCTTAAGGGCCTCATCACCAAAATGCTTATTACAAGATCGACTGGATCTTCCTACTCTAAGTGACACAGAACAGGAAGTCAATTTTGAAAGTGAACCGAAATACAATGAGGAGGATGCTGGGCGACGTTTGCAATTGCTCTGTAAATCAAACTCTGTTGATTTGCAAACCGCCCCAGATTCTTCGTCGCCCCTTTCCTTTCCGGTTTCAAACGAGACTTCAGTCACTTTTAGATCCCTTGATCCTTCTCAGTCCATGGCGGTATTCAAACGGTCTTCTTCGCTCACTAGGTTGGCTCCGTTGAAATTGTAAGTGAAATCAACCTCCCGATTTCTCTACTTTGAACAACTTCAGTAGAACCTAAATACTTCACCTCAACTTTAGGCGACCTATATTAAGGCAAGGTACTAAATTATCTCGTTCGAAAAATCTCGGAAATAGGGCTGTTGATGAAGGAAAGCCACCTCTAACGTCATTTACTGGAAAAACCGCTACCAAAATTGTATCAAATAGTAATTCCTCGGCAGCAATAATATTCACTCAAAATGATTCAAGGAAATCACCTAGTCTACAACCATTGAAACCTTTAAAAATGTCCATTGTGGATAAATCGGATAAAAAGCCTCTTTGAATGAAACTTATCAATATACTAGCTAAATCTAACCTTTGAAATATAATTATTATTAGCATTTCGCAATTTTTTGATAAAGAGATAGTTTTGAATGTGGCGGGGATATTGACTAAATTTAAGAATAAACTTTTATTTCGAATATGGGGTGTGCGATGGACTTACCTCCACGTGGTGCACCCTGGGCAACGTATACTCACACCTTACCTCCACGTGGTGCACCCTGGGCAACGTATTCTCATTCGGCTACCTCCACGTGGTGCACCCTGGGCAATGTATACTCATACACCTCCACGTGGTGCACCCTGGGCAACGTATACTCACGATAGACTTACCTCCAGGTGGTGCACCCTGGACAACGTATACTCAAACGGCACGTGGTGCACCCTGGGCAACGTATACTCATACGGCTCCACGTGGTGCACCCTGGGCAACGTTTACTCATACGGCTCCACGTGGTGCACCCTGGGCAACGTATACTCATAAGGCACCACGTGGTGCACCCTGGGCAACGTGTACTCATACGGCAAGTAAGTCTATCACGTGGTGCACCCTGGGCAACGTATACTCATACAGCAAAGAAGTCTATTAACCGGCATTTGACTACTGACTTCAAACTATCATTAACCCACTGTATGTCATATTCAACCATTTCCACAGTACTCACCTCACCTTTCACCTACCTTTGTATCTGTCTCTTTTACATCTTCATAACACTCTTCTGTTCCCCCCCCCCCCTCGACCTTTTTCGCTTCGATGTTCCTCTCCCTCTGTGAAGCCTGAAGTCAACTAAAGGGCTAATGATAATTATCACAAACCCTGTTATTTGATATAAATACTTCAAACATGCATTAAAGATTTCGATGGGTAATTCATGTATAAGTTCATAGATTCAATTTCAGAATAATTTGAACGTAAGTTCAATACGTCACAGAGTTATGCAAAAATTAAATATTGTATTGGCTGAAATTGCACCCTGTTTACGAATAATTTTAGATATAATAATAATAATAACCAAAAGCACATGTATAGAAGAAATAAAAAATAGTAGGACTAATTGGTGCAGGATAGAATTTGAGGGTAGTTATTTATAACAGTATAAAATTAGAGACAGTTCGAAAGTATGTGGAAATTGTGGAAGCAAACAGAAGGATCAAGACCTCTGAGATGAAGGTAATACCGATATACGGAATCTATCTCGTACATGTGATCCAAAAAAACAAATTCAAACATATTATTTAGGGTTTATCACGTTCAAGCACTAAAGATTTAAAAAGAAAAAGAATTATTATTAATGCTTAAAATATAACCTCTTGACTAATTGCTTAGAACCTAAAGATTGTGCCTCATAGATTTTAATTGCATCAGGCGTGAGAGCATTATCTTTAATCATATTTTCACTTACAACTTAACTTTGGGACTTAGTAAAGCCTGACTGACTCAGAAATCTCTACGCTACGCTAGTAAAGCCTGACTGACTCAGAAATCTCAATGGGAGATCCTCCTACATCTAGCTAGACTCCCAGAACCAGCTAAACACCTTAGTAAAGCCTGACTGACTCAGAAATCTCGATGGCAAGATTTCCAACATCTAGCTAGACTCCCAGAACAAGCTAAGCTATAGCCTAGCTATAAGGGAAACTCATCTAGCTAGACTCCCAGAACCAACTAAGCTATAGCCCACATCTAGCTAGACTCCCAGAACCAGCTAAGCTATACCCCAGCTACGCTAGACTCCCAGAATAAGCTAAGCTATAGCCCAGCTATAGGCTGACTCCCAGAACCAGCTAAGCTATAGCCCAGCTATGAAAGACTCCCAGAACCAGCTAAGCTATAGCCCAGCTATGAAAGGATCTCCCAGAACCAGCTAAGCTATAGCCCAGCTATAAAGAAATCAAGTCTCTATGGCAGATTCTCCAACATCTAGCTAGACTCCCGAGAAATCTCTGGCAGATTCTCCTACATCTAGCTAGACTCCCGAACTAGCTAAGCTATAGCCCAGCTATAAAGAAAACAGACGTATAATTCAGCTAAGCTATAGCCCAGCTATAAAGGAAACAGACGTGTTGCGCTAAGCTATAGCCCAGCTATAAAGGAAACAGACGTGTAGGGCACGGAGCACCGTTTATTCAGTGAGTATATTGCGGATAAAGTGTACACGCAGGGAGCTAGTCATGATCAGGATGGGGGATTAGGTTAAACAAAAAGAGATTAATGATTTTCACTGTTTTTACGGTCGCACCTCCCAATCCTGGCGTGCAGG